ATACCGGTTTGCCTCTCTAATCATTATCTAATAATCTCGTAAGTTGACCTAGAACCGGCTACGTTGCATTATGGGTGCGCCACATATCTACCAAATAGCAAACTAACCGCAAACTGCTGGAAATTTCTGCCAAAAAAAATTTCTGTGGAGCGACATCTACAATAGCGAGGTTCGAAATAGCATGTAAGTCCGCCCTATTTTGTTTCCATTCTAAGGGGGGATATTTTGTGGATTTAAGCGTATACTCCTTCCTGTCAGTTTTATATTCAAACGTCTGTTTGCACAGGGTTGCCAGTCTTCACCAAAGTAGAAAATCTTTTTAGTTTGTAATCATAAATAATCCACCAATAATAACTTTTGTTAACTTTAGGTACATATTTACGATCATAGATACAGACAAGTATACCAAGAATATTATATTACGCTCGCCTACTACACTAACTAGGTGAACGTGTCGTTTGAGTCCCTCCAAATTTTTCGTTTTTTCTTGTTTTACCTTAAAGAAAACCTTAAATTAAGCAGTATCAGCCAAAAAAATCCTGACCGGTCCATAAATTAAGTCAAAAAACATTCACAAACTTTTGAAATTAGTTTTTCCAAAATCACTTATTTATGCACGAAAATGAAATTGTCCGGAGCATGAAGTTCTAAATATTTTTGCGTTTTTCGTTTCGGTTCATTTTGAGTTAGTTTGTTTGTGTTAGCATGGTTGAAGTGATTTTTTAAATAAAACTTTAAAATATATACAACAAGTCAAAGTTAATAACCCAAAAAGACATAAATAATCTAAACCGACCCAAATTGAATGAATATACATGCGAGGTTTCCAAGGAAACAATTTTCAATAACTTTAAACGTTGGTAACACCGCACGACATTTTTCCTGAAAATGCTGATTTGGCTCAAACTTTGTGAGTGCCTTGTTGATAAACCTAAACGTAATTTTGGTAATGCTTTACGGTACAATCTGGTACTAGGATTGCAGCTTTGCCGATTAAGACTATGCTCACCTTATAGAAAATCTCCTAACAAACAATATTTTTCGTATAAATTTTTCGATTAAATGCCGTTTTCCACCACTTTTCACCCTTTGAAATTCACCAATTTCCAAAACAAAACAACGGTCGCCATGATAGTTCAGCACTTTGCGCCGGCGTGCCATTCAACATTTTTCGCGTAGTTCCCAGTACTATCATTACCACTTCCTTAGCCACCTACGCGATCAGTTTCGCTGAAACATTCAAACAGAATCAATTTGAAGATTGAAGAATTTGATAATTTTTTCTTAATATAAAATAAATAGTAATGAGTAATACCCAGAGTTTTCACTACTTTTCCGATTCCCATGATAATTCCAATAAACTGATTAAGAACTCACACGCGTTCATAGAAATAAATAGAGAAACCAAAGCTGAAAATACTTTATTTTATTTTCTTTGCATGCATACACAATTAATTTGATATTTCAAACGGCTGGCTGCAATCAGCTGGGTCCCGTCTAAATTACTCGCACCATCTATTACTTACTCGCATCACCATATGTATGAGCTTATCAGTTTTGTCTACTATTTCCTGTATGGACGTAATTCTGCTAAGTTTTCAACCTTGAATGAACTACTTTTTTGTTTTCATTGAACTTTTCTATTTTGGTAGCAGTTCGGCAACATGGCTGACCAGTATGCAATTTTTGGCTGCTCGTACCCTGCGTGCCACAGCAGATCGTACCGTAAAGCATTACCAAAACTACAAATTCGGAGGGATTCAAACGACAGGATCACCCGAATAGTTTTTTTTCAAAGCTGAATTAGAGTTGCTGTCAATTTGTTGACTCAATAATAATTATATATACATAGAAGTAGGACGTACCCTTTTTCCCCAAGGCCGGCTATTGTTCTGTTCACGACGAGATTTACACTGAATTCTGTGCACTGAATTAGCAACGATACGCCAATTCTTATCTTACACTGTTGATAAAATACACCGGTTTATCTCCAATACTTTTAAATTGAGTGCAGGTCTTTCCCCTTGGAAAATGTTCTATAGTGACTCAAAATTGGTGTAATTCCGCTGGGGGTGTTGTTTGGGGCTGTTTTGGGAGTACAGGTACATGTATTATAGTTCTAGGGCAAAAATTAGTGGAACAAGTTCCTATAAAAAAATTTTGAGAACCCAAGAATAACTGATCAACAGGGTTTTAAAGTTGCAATTTTAAAGGTGATCGTGTCGTTTGAGTCCCTCCGAATTTTTAATTTTTTTGCCTTATTTTACATAACTTAAGCAGTTTCAGCAAAAGAAAATCCTGGATGGTCCATAAATAAGGCCAAAAAACACTTAGAAAGTTTTCAGGCTAAATTTCGAGCGGTGTTACCAAACTGCGCAAAATGTTTTAACCCAATGAAACAAGTTTTTTGTAATGAAGTGTGTATGTAATTAATAATTAAGGGCAAGCGTTTTCGACAATAGGGTTGTTGCACAATTTTTTTTTTGTT